AGTACGAACTAGAGCACATTCCACGAAATCTAGATGATTATGTTGAATTTGACACCATAAGGGATAAGGTGTAACAGAACAAACATAGTTAGATGTAATTATCCTTACTAGAGGAGTTTTTTTGTAAATTGACTATAACTCAGGAGGCATTTGTAATTTACCCTTTTTTAATTCAAACCACCCTTGGCAACATGATAATTATATAGTGGGAAAATTACAACCACCTCCCTGAGGTATGGTCAATTTACAAAAAACCCCTCTTGTTTAGATAATTACATCTACCCCTCAGCTATGATTTTTTCTTACATCTCCACTCTTATGGTGTCAAATTCTACATAATCATCTATATTTCGTGAAATGCACTCTAGTTCGTACTCGTTTTGTGTAATAATACAGTTTCTGATGCACCCCACAATCTGATATATATACAAGCTTAAAAACACATATCATGATCATCTTGCTTTAAAATGTGGAGTTCGAATATGATAAAACGGGTACAAAAGTGATAATAATCCATATAATCTAAAAAATTCCACGAAATTTGAAACCGCAAGGGTGGACGTGTAAAAAGATTTATAGTTGAGGGAGGTAGTTGTAATTATCCAAACAAAAGGGTTTTTTTTGTAATTTGACCATACCTCAGGGGGAGATTATAATTAACCCTTATTTAATAAACGTTATTATGAAGATAAAACAATGACATAGATGGCTGTATTACGGGCTGGAAATTGGAAAGAAATTTTTGAAATTCGAAGATTCCGATCCGTTTTTTTTAATTATATTTTAAATTTAAACTCCACTTTTGATTTCCGATCTTTTCGGTTTGTTATATTAATATCGTAATAAATATATATAGGATTTTGATTTTCAATTTGAATATAATGCTCGGAAAGAATTCTAAAAATCTATTTTTTTCTCGAAAATTGTATTTATATTATCATGTATTTTATAGCATATGTATTTAACTTCAATAATTATTATGGTAGAGGTGAAAGTCGGACGAATTGGTCATAATTGTCATTTTCAAAAAAATCCATTCTTTTTTGAGGTGAAAAACTAATTTCAATTTCATTCAACAAACAACCGAAAACTCGGAATTTCAAAAATTGGAATAAAAAAATTGTTCCAAAATAAGAAAAAATCGGAATAGGATCGACGGAATTCAGCAATTTTTTAGTCACATGTAAGAAATAAATAAAACACATTATAAGTTTGATTATAATTATAATTTTTTAAATTGATTGGTATTTTTAAAATTAAAATCTGACTGAATATCAAAAATTAGTATATATGTATTCAAATTCTATTGAAGAAATTGGAATTTTAAATTCAAAATTAGAAAAAAAAAAATTATTTCAAAATAAAAAATATTCGAATTCGAACCGATGGAATTCCTAAATTCCATTTCAATTTGGACACCAAAAAGAGTGTCCCATCCTAATACTACCTTATTCCAATTATATCATATTTAAAAGTAAACACATTGATTTGCCCCAAAATTGTCGAGACGATGATGTACCCTCCTTGGAAGATATTTTGGATGATAGCTTGTCGGGGATTCCGCCGGAAGAGTACCTGCAATACCGGGAGGGGTTTCCCGGCGTAGAAGCTTCATCGAGCAAGGCAGTTTTTATCCATAGATAATCGAGCGTGATATGTAAGAGAGAATATAGAAGTGAAATGTTGAGAGTAACTCCCAATTTACCAAAAGAGTTAGGAAACCCCGTGAGGACAATTTAGTCCGTATCACGCGTTATACTAGTATCAGATGGAAAAGATACAATTTTTATCCCTCAAATTTGCACCAATTTCACATTTAGTCCTCATATTAAAAAAAAAACATATTTGGTCCCTCAATTTTTAATAATTCTAACAATTTTAAAATGGGGGATCAAATTTGTTCTTCAACTTACTTCCACTTTAATTAGTATAATAACTAACTAATCCAATGTCATTAAAACTTCATTTTTACAACACTCGTTACATTATGACCTAAGAAAAAAGGTGGGAAGTACGAAAAAAAAAAAATAATAATAATAACATACAATTTTATAGCTTACATAGATTTTATTTTTCATTATTATTTGTTGGGCCCAAACCCGGCCCGAATAGTAGTTATAGAAATATAGACGTTACGAAATGTAACGGCTACTTTTGAGTTTTGATTTCAAATCGAAAATCGTTCTCTCTCTCCTTTTCTTCTTTCTTTCCTATTTCCAAACAAATCTTCTCAATTTTTAGCTCTTTTCACAGAAAATTCTCTCTCTCTCTCTCTCTAGATCTTCTTCACAATTCATCATCTTGTCCAAACATTCGAAAATTTGTTGCGTTACTACAAATTGATGTTAATGGCTCCTACACCATCATCAAAATCCAACCATTCGACACCTTCGTCGAAATCAAGCGCATCTCACCACCAGCCCTATACCCCTCATTCCTCCAAGCTCCGCCTCAATTTCCCCAGAGAAACCTCCTCCGCCGCCGCCGCGGCGGCTCCGCCGCCGGATCACCCCGTGGAAGTCGTCGGACGAATCCGAGACCACCCGGAGCACAGAAACAGCAAGCACACCGCGAATCCGCCGTCGGCCCTGCATGCCAACGCCGACGGGAAATCCCTCCGGGTCAGAACGGAAACCGGGTACAGGGATTTCAGTCTGGACGGAGTTTCGCTGTCGGAGGACGACGATCTAGATGGGTTCTACAAGAAATTCGTGGAGTCGAGAATCAACGGTGTTAAGATGGGCCAGAAATGCACAATTATGATGTACGGGCCCACCGGCTCCGGCAAGAGCCACACGATGTTCGGCAGTTCGACTCAGCCTGGAATTGTTTACAGATCGTTGAAGGGGATTTTGGAGGAGGAAGAAGACGATGACGTGGCGAAAGTCGGAATGGGGATGTTTGTGCAGGTTACTGTTTTGGAGGTTTACAACGAAGAAATTTACGATCTTTTGTCGCCGGCTAATAATGGTGGTGGTGGTGGAGGGTTCAGTCTTGGTTGGTCCAAAGGTGGCTCTGCTTCTAAGGTGAGAACTGTTGTATTTTTTTATGCCTTGTAAGTGTTTGATTTAATGCCTGAAAGGGAATTGGACTTGGAATTGGAAGGCCTTTATGGATGAGCTTGTTTTGATTCACTTTATGAACTGATTTTTTACTAGCAACAGGGGATTAAAATAAATCGATAATTAAAGAATTGATCGGTTGAAATAATACGAGCCTTTTCGACAGACAGACTACTTGTTTTTTTTTTTTTTTTTTTTTTTTTTTTTTTTTTATGTTTACGCTATGTTTGTCTATGGGGCAAATTTAGATATTAGTGCTGATTTGTGTTCAAAGGTGTCTGGTTGATTTATTGTTTAAGTTTGTATTTTTTCGGTCCATGAAATATGTGTGATACTTACAAATCAATACGAAATGTAATAAAAAGAAAACGATATTGTTTCATAGTTTCGAGCCATATTTTTCTTGAACCTCGATTTGAAGAAACTATTTCACTTCTTAGTGGTGATTATTATTGACTTCGGTTTCGGTTTCGGTTTCGGTTCGATTAGCTAAGGGCTTATGAACTAGAACCGCAGTCTTCTTCATGTAAGATATTTACTTACAAAAATAATTTCATGTCTTGCAGGTGAGATTAGAAGTAATGGGAAAGAAGGCGAAAAACGCTACCTTCATCTCGGGAAACGAAGCTGGCAAGATGCTGAAAGAGATTCAGAAAGTGGAGAAGAGGCGAATAGTTAAAAGCACCCTCTGTAATGAAAGAAGTTCGCGAAGTCATTGCATGGTAATATCAATTTCAAAAACTTAAATTTTTTTCGATCTTTATTGAATATTATTTTCAATTAAATATGTTATATCTTCTTCCACACTGTTCTGTTGCAGATAATTCTTGATGTTCCAACAGTCGGAGGAAGGCTAATGCTGGTGGACATGGCCGGTTCCGAAAATATCGAACAAGCCGGTCAAACTGGCTTTGAAGCAAAAATGCAGGTGAGTTTATTTTTTCAAGATTTCTTCGATTTAAATTACATTATTTATTTTTTAACCATGTATAATTATTTGTATTGGTGTACAGACTGGAAAAATCAATCAGGGCAACGTAGCACTAAAACGAGTGGTTGAATCTATTGCCAACGGAGATTCTCACGTACCGTTTCGTGATAGCAAGCTCACCATGCTTCTTCAGGTCTGTCTATATATATATATAGACACACATATATGATGTATCATATCCTTTGATGGTATTTCTGAAATTATTCCGACATATATATATAGACACACATATATGATGTATCATATCCTTTGATGGTATTTCTGAAATTATTCCGACGTTTTCTTGAACAGGATTCTTTCGAAGACGATAAATCCAAAATTTTAATGATACTTTGTGCAAGCCCAGATCCTAAAGAATTGCACAAAACAATTGCCACCTTAGAATACGGGGCGAAAGCCAAGTGCATAGTTCGTGGACCCCACACACCGATTAAAGACAAAGACAACGAAGATTCCGTTATTTTGGGATCAAGAATCGCTGCCCTTGATCAGTTTATATGCAAGTTACAGATGGAGAATAAGCTCAGGGAAAAAGAGTGCAACGAGGCACAGAAGGAGCTCAAGAAGAAGGATCTAGAAGTTTCTTCACTAAGGGCAAAACTGGCAAGTAAAGAAGCAAGTGTGGAGGAGGTAAACTCGAAAGTCACTGAAAGGGTAGAAATCGAGAAGAGGAAAATGGAGGAGAGAGTATTCCAACAGCAGCAGGAAATTGAAATGCTGAGGCGGAGATTGGAAGAGATCGAAACGGAGCTGATACTCTCTAGGGGTACGAGTGGTAAATCTGCAGAAATTGAAGGGGGCAGTTTCATGAGGAGGCTTTTGGATGTTTGTAATAACGACGATCCGGATATGGTTAAGTCGATGGATTTGGTTCAATCGATCGATATGGAGACAACGAATGTGCTGCCAGGTGGCGGTCTGGGTGGTTATTACACGAACAATAATTTCGGTGAAGGGAGTTTTTCGAGCAAGGCGTTGTGTTTGACCACGGTGTTTGAGGAAGAGGAGTACGAAAACGAGGATGAAGATAGTAAAGAAGAGAGTATCGGTGAAGAAGAGGAAGTGCAGAAGGAAGTTATTGAGGAGAAAAAGTTCGACTTTTTTAAAGATAATATAAGTGAAGAACAAGATGATGGGAATCCTTTGGATGAAGAGTCGCGTAAAATGCGAATTCGGAATATTTTTACTCTATGCGGAAACTATCGGGAGCTTCCTCAGCAAAATACAAACGTGTCTGCTGATAATCTTGATGTGAAAGAAAACATGGGAGAACAAAAATTAAGGGGCTCCGATGAAGAAAATCTCGGTTTCCTTGCTCTTGAGGTAATTTTCCAATTTTCACACATCTGTAATATTTGTTGTAAATCATTATTCAGTTGGCATTCAATTTTTTTTTTTGTCTGACTTAACGCGTATGATATTGTTATACTAGGATTCTTGTCTGCCTAAGGACAACAAGCCGACTCGGATTCAGGCACCGAATCATTTACCGTTCAGTTCGCTGGAGAACAAGATTAACACCAACACTACTCCAAATTCACAGTTGAGAAAGAGCAAAGATGATTATTGCCTGTCGCCTGTTTCGACGCCTTTTATTACTGTCAGAAAAATTAAGTAAAGGTGAGTCGATTTTTATATGTTTTGTAGAAGTCGAATTTATAGGGAAAAAAAAGAAATAGTGCCTTGGATGTTTATGTACTCCTGGTGCATGGTGTTGGTGTAGGTCATTCTGTTAAATACGTTCGAAGCTCGATTTAGTTACATTTTCGAATTTTTATTTGTTTTTTTTTTTTCTGTAATGCTATCATCTTGCACTATATTTGTACAAGAAACTTTTGTCGAACTGTTCGAATGTTGTGAAATTACATTTAATTTTTCGTTTAGTTGTCCTAAAAAAAAAAAACATTACAGTTGCATGTAAACACAAACGGTTCGAAACTTGGTGAAAACTTCATTAGAAGAATTAAAATGTGAACACGTAAACACAAACGGTTTGAAACTGGGTGAAAACTTCATTAGAAGAATTAAAATGTGAACATCGTTGGATTAAATAATATCTACTGTTTAACGATCTACGGAAGATTAAAATAAGTAAATAATTGAAAATTCATGAACGTAAAATTCAAATGTGAAAAAAATAAATGTAGACGAGAGCTATTCGAGAAGTGGAATTGATTCCATCACGAAGATTTCATACTGTCCAATCCAACACTTGCCTGCACCAAAACAATTTATTTATACATAAATATATATATAGAAAAACAATTAAAAAAATCGGAAAAATAAAATAAAAGTTTCGTTACCAGAAACTTATGAATCTGTACTAGGATCGGAGAAAAATCGGTGCAGAACTTTTGCATATCATCGTAAATGTCGCCATCTTCAATGCCGATAACCTCCATGAACTTCTTCCTATCCGGTGCAAGCTTAATAGCAACCTTTTGTTCAATAATACAAATTAAATCCCATTATTATTTCAATAATATTTAATGGTTGAATATATGATTATCTGATATAATTAGGAATGCATTATTAAATTAATTATTTGTATTTTACCGCGAAACTCGAACTAGCAAGCCAACCATGCCATTTCTTTAAAGTCTTGCTATATGCATCGTTACAGACTTGCGACATCGACCAATCATGGTGTTCCGCTAGATTACGGAATAGCTCGACTAAGAAATCCATTGCTCTGCAACATATTATTAATATTAAATCGTCAATTTTGAAAAAAAAAAATCATTTTTCGTATAAATGTGGAATATTTTATATTTAAATACCTGGTCAACCAGAGAAGCCCGTTGGTACAGCTGCACGATGACTTGGCAGTTTTCGTCTCGACTTCAGCTTGTACCAAGTTGTAGAGGTAGTTGAATCTGGAAGGATTTGAATTGAACTTAGATTCCAGCCTCTACAAAAGTTGATCATCAAAACACGAAAAAATATTACACCTCGAAAAATATTTTTAAACAATGTGAAATTAAAAATTGAAAATAAAAAACACGAAAAAAAAACAAGTTCTTAACCAATAAATTCTCAATCCAAGTAGCATAAGAAGTACGAAACTCAAGAATTGAAAAATTAAAAATTAAAAAAAAATATAATAATTCAAGCTTGAACGTAACATATATGTCGAGAACGGAAATCTTACCGATATATTACCGCTGATATCGGATTTTACGATCGTCATAGCAGCCCCAAATTTATCTATTATTAGAAAAAAAAATTATGAATAATATTTAAACACGATACTCTAATTAAAATTAAATAATTACGGAAAAAAAAATCGAAAAAAAAAACCTAATAGGGGCAGAATAAGTTTGCAGACATCCAAGAATGGCTTTGTCAGCATATCGCCTTGTTCGCATTTGATACTCTGTATTCCTTCCAGACAAGCCGTAAACACCGTTTCTCCCATTTTTTTCCGACTTTCTGCAAATACATTAATAAGCACAAATTCATATATACCGACATTTCGATTCTTTTTTTTTTTTTTTTTTGCCATTTATTACTTTCCAATCTCTAATCTTGAAAACGACACTAGAATATCGAAAAACGGGGTTTCGAAATCGCATTTATAATAAAAATGAATGACATGCAGATGATCAATATATATATCTCTATATATATATATATATATATATATATAATTACAAGAGGATGGTGAAGAAGAACCTGAGATTAGGATGTGGATGGAATTGGATTGGATTGTACCAAGTTCTTACATCAAAATTATGTATGTATATAAGATATATATACGTATGTGTGTGTGTATATATTCATGTCTGTGTGGGTGTGTGATAATTCAGATTCAGGTTTTTTTTTTCTTTTTAGTGTTGAGTGAAAATGAGAAAGAAAGGAAAAAAAGAAGAAAAAAAAATGAAAGTCAACGGGAGATGAAGTAGTGGGTCACCACGTTTAACTGATTTTCAAAATTCCCGCGGATTCTGCGGTCTGTATGATCTAGGATACCATTTCCATCCGATATTTGTACCTTTTATTTATTTAAATAATTCATGTGTAAATATTCCACCAAACATATTATGAAATATTTTCCCCTTTCCTAATTTTTTTTATTGGGTTAATGGCATTTTTTACCCCGAATTTTTACGAAGCAAATATGAAAGTGTCTCAAGTAAATTTGGTGTAGTCGGAGGGGGAGTGAGATAATAAACCTGGATATTTACGTTAGGTGGATTTCAACCGTAGATCTGATTAAATAACAACCCACTAAAAACACATACATATGGGTGCTTATGCGTGTGATTATGTGTAGATGTACGGTTGAAATCACCACAGTCGGACTGTATGTAGGTGTGTAATTATGTGTATGTGACTGTACAGTAGAACTTTGATAAATTAATAACCTCGATTAAATAATAGTTCCTCCCGGTTTTGACTCGGTGAAAATGTGTTAAATTATTAACACGATAATTTAATAATTCGCTAAAGTAATAGAATTCCCTGATCCCGACTGTACTAATTTATAGAAGTTTAACTGTATGTGGTTGTGTGGCAAAGGTTTGATGATGGCAGCAGCGGAGAGGGGGGTTGGAGCATATTTGACGGAGCGTACCAGAGTTTGACGGAGTTTGATGGAGAACAGTTGAGGCAGATGCGATAAAATCGCGTGTAAAGAACAAATGACATTTAACAAACTGCAAAAGTTTGAATTTCTTGCCAACAGTTCTCGTGTGGTTTGTGAGTTGTTGCACGGAGAGCGAACTCAATAGAATTATAGTAGTTGCATGTTCTCTTATTAAAAAAAAGGGTCAATAGCACCTAACTCCCCAGTGGTTACAAGCTTTTGCAGTTGAGCCCCTTTTGCTCGTAATATCAGCACATAACTCCCTTGTGGTTTTGGGGTAGTTCCGTTGCTTTTTCCGTCAAACTTAACCGCATGCGTCAAACTTTAAAGTTTTTTTTTTTTTGTAGATGACCCCCTTGTGATTACATTTTCCATTTCATTTTTACATATGACCCCCCTTGAAGATTGCCATATGCGGTTAAGTTTGACGGAAAAATTAACGAAAATTGCCCCTAAATCACAAGGGGGTTATGTGCTGATATTACGAGCATAAGGGGTGCATCTGCAAAAGCACAGGGGGTTAAGTGCTACTTATCCTAAAAAAGATGTGATTTAATTTTTGTTTAGGCCTAGTTTTTGGAGTAGAAAAGAATGTTGAATGACTCGAGTTTGAACTCGTTGCACTAGACATTCTATTGCACGAGAGCGGGACTTATCCGGTGCATTGCAGTTCATATCAAATATATGATGATATTATTATATTGAAGATTGTGTTACAGGCTATTTAAGTACGTAAATATATAAACGTGATCCAAAATCAACATATATGAATGGATTTAACGTGGATCGGACTTGGACAGATCAAGATCGTATATATACACATGGATCGATTGCATCTTTAACTCAACTTGGGTGATATTTTCTTCGAGCATGTATATATTAATTTTTTTGGGGGGATAATTTTCGACTATTACTGTTGATGCCTAATTGCACCTTGGGAACCATAATTTGTACCATGAGTTTATTGTTTTTCGGACATTCTACGATCCAGCCCTAAAAACGAAGGTAGTTCAAAACGGAACGAATGCTTATTTTAATCGACGAATAATTGACTATTAGTAGTATATTTAGTTAAGGATGTACAATGATCTCTGTTCAGATGAGTTATCGCATTTTAATCATAAAATAGAGTGCATAAATCAACTAGTGTCGTAAATCAGCTGAATTGTCAAGCCTCGATCGACATCTTGAGAATTCTACGATAGTCGTTTCTTTTCCTTTGTTTTGCTCCGAAAAGGCGATAACAAAGAGAAATGGCGAGAAACTGTAGCAAAACAGGCACGAGAACAAAGAGTCATTTTAGCCACATGAACCAAAGAATGTAACGGGGCGCGATCTAGTGTAACCGAAACACTTACTCTTTTGAGAAGAATTACTAGCACTAGAGGTTTCATCCTGCCTGATTAGATTCTTCAATGTGCCAACTGAGAAAAAGCCCAGAAAAAATAAATAAATCAGCAATTTGACGATTTATATTAAATTGACTACCCAATTTCGGAAATGCGTCAACGTAAATGTCACAACAAATACAAGCTAAATACGATTCATTACAGCGTACGGAAAATGTATCTGACCTTGACTTGCATTATCGTCATGGTCAGCGGCATCAACACTCGTACAGTCCGAATCGAAACTTTCATCCACCAATGACGAAGTATGGTTTTTCTTTCCAAACATCAAAAGTCGCCTCAAACCTCTTGATGATTCCTTAGCAGGAGTCTTGTCCGAAGTTGCTGCTTTTTTGTCCGATTTAGGGGTTTTTACGTCAACGACATGAACTTTGACCGATTCCTCGGTGCAAGGGTCTTGATAAGATTTTTCAGCAGTGGTATTGTTAGCAACGCTTGGATTATCCTTCTCTGGGTAGGCGGCTGTCCTAACCTGGTAAGACAACATAGTACGTCACGATCCAACGCAACTATTATTACGTTAATTAATCACTACTTACAAAAAGTTGCAGTGTCAAAATACGCTAAAACCATTTTTTTCGTTTGTATGATACGAACACAGATTCTTGGTCTTATAAATCTTACCTCATTAGAACCCGAATGCTTTTGGAGTTGAGAAGATATGGGAACTCTATCAACTCCATCCACGAGTGAATCGAACATCGCATCCCTTTTTTGTTCTTTATGCAGAATCGGAGGAGAAGGGTTCTCATACTCGAGCATCACTACATTTTTCTCAACGACCGGGTTTTCATCTGCACCAATCTGAAGTGACGTATTAGTTATTATAGTTTACTCACATTCAATTCAGCATTTTCGCAAAATTGTGGATGGCTTTATTCCAGTTACCTTTTGATCATTTACAGCTGATGATGTGTTCTCACCTGCATTTTCGTGCGACTTCGACACTTTGATCTTCAGTTCAGGTAGAGTTGCAGCTTTAATTCTATCAAGGTTTATGATAGCGGATATTTTGTTCATCTCGGGTCCTTCATACAACTTCCTTCTCGGTCCCGCTTCAGCACTTCGAGTCTTCACGGAACTAACAAGAGGATTTTTAACTACTTTGGGCTCTGATAATCTTCTAGTTTGAGCCATGGAAGCCTTCAAATCGGGTTTACGAACATTTCTTTCAATTTTTATCTCGGACAATGATGATGAGGACCTGGTCAACCTATCGCCTGCCATGTGGCTACCCTCGCTTAATTTACTAGCTTTAGAGGCCTTAAGAGGCTCAGTCGATCCTAGTGAAGTTCTGATTTTGGATCTCTGTAAGGGTGACGATGAACCAGGCTCTGAATCACTGAACTTGGAACTTCTATTAGTTGCAGGAGAAAGTTTTGCTGGAATTTGCTTCGTCTGAGGCGAGAGTACAGATGGCTTCACAGAATTGGAGCTGCCTCTGGCTGCAATTCTCTTTTGTCTCTCAAGCTTTAATGCTTCAAGGCGCTTTGCATCGGCCTCTTCCTACAAAGAGAAAAATAATGATCCTCAATTAACTAGTGACATTTATATGTTGTACAAACACTGTAACTGTAAACACGTTGTGCAAATGAAATTTAGCATGGAATATGGAAACTAGTGTAATGTGAACCAATCGCGTGTCAAGTGCAAAATCATTTGCCATACGAGTGGATTTGGTGCAATGACAACAGGCGACGACAAGATTTTCATGTGTACTATACCTGCTCTTTCTTCATTTTCTGGAGATCAGCTTTGTACGATCTTAACCTCTCAGCACGAACTCGTGCATCTTCTGGGGGACTCATCTTTGATGGTTTTCCCTTTAACGGGCCTCCACTTCTGTGCTTGTGTACAGAGTCTAAAGTAACCTTTGGCTTTCTATCTTTATTCCTTAACCCTTCCTTCATTTCAGTAACATCTTTCCCATCTTTCTGAATCGACCCTTTTGCCGAGACCTGCATTTCATAGTCCAAAGCAGGGTCATATCCAACAGGCCTACTTTCTGTTCCCCGTTCAGGAATCAAGCTTAAAGCATCAGGCTCATAAAATAGTTTGTTTGTATTTCCGTCCGAATCCAACTGAACCTCGGAATCTACATCAATGGCAGCTCTATCGGCTAGTCGAACTTGATCCATGGAGACTGACCTAAATGGTACAATGAAAGTTTCATCGGCCATACCATGTGTGGATTCTCTATCCATCTTACTGGTGGCACCCTCGAACAGATTAACCGCAAACGGATCCGAGGAACTCCTGAAAATTCCCTGGTTCTGTTGACTGCCAATTGTGAAATCTTCATGTGTCGTCCTAGACAAGATCTTCGTTCCATTGGCTTCTGCAAATTGACCATCTGTTTGACCATTGGATCCCCTGAAATCACGATCCCCTCTGTATAGTAAACCATCTTCACCTAATTGATCATTGCTTGCAGTGTTTACGCGTCTCTTTACTATAGCATCGTTCTCCATTGCAAACATGCCCTCATTGCCAGCTTGAGCATCTTCATCACTTCCTCTCAATAAACAATTCTGAAATGCCTGCCAATTTCCATCAAGGGCGTCCTTTCGGGAATTAGATACTCTGTCATTGCTGAAATTCAATTTATCCACAGACTTGACATGATTTCCTTCAATTCTCGAAGAACTATTACTATTACTAACAATTGAGTCCAGATCACCCGCCTTCAAATTTTCATCTTCTGTGTCGAAGTCGGAATCTGAACTCGAGTTGGATTCGCTGTCAGATTTCTTCTCTTTAGAAGTGACGTAATTAACATTCCGTATTACAACCATGCCTGGTTGCTTCTTTTTAGATCCTCCCGCTTTTTTCCGTGGTTTCTCATTGTGTGAAACTTCTGCACCCGTATTAACATCCCTAACATCATAGGTTTGTATCTTTTGTCCTGACTGATCACTAAGATTTGATGGGAAATGGTCGAGCGGGTGGTGAGGTGGCTGAAAGAAAGGACTACTGCCTGCATAAGTTTGATAGTATGGGATTCCCACGGGGTATGGTTGAAATACTGGTTGGGCGCCAGGTGGCGCATGCATAGGCCATGGCGGAAACGCAATATGAGGGAATTTCCCTTGAAAATATTCTTGCTGACTGATTGGAGCTGGATTATCTGCTGGAGACCAAACAAATACACATGATATCTTTACTATTCCATACGGGGGGGAGGGGGGAAGAGAAAGACATTTCGTCATATTTTCAAAAACTGGTATGGATTTTACTTGGAAAACAATATTGAGAAATTCTAGGATACATGATACATAATGAATTAGCAGACATCGACTCAGTGGTTAAAGCAGGATTCTGGGCTAAGGAAAGGTTTAGACAGCTATTTGACGAGCATGCATCGCAAGTAAGTTTAACAAGTGAACTGCGTCATTCTCGGATGCTTTAAGAAACAAGCCTAGCTAATAAGAAAGAATCTAGAAAGCTACTTTGTGATGGCATGATCATATTGCTGACTTTAGATCTCCAAGAAAGGGAAAAATAAATCTTAAATAGATCACATCGAAACCTCGTCAGGTAAGAAAACATGGAAAAAGCCTACCGAGCTGAGTTCCCAGACATTCAAAAATGAAACCATATTCTGCATGATATCTTCACCCTTAAGTGCAAAATTTAAAGATTATGAACCGACGTTGCCGAACAAAGACATGAGTAGCACGACGAACTTGATGAGTTTTTTAAGTAATGCAAATAATGACAAAATGAATAATTTTTGGTTGACCCCGATAGGTATTTTTATTGCAGACGTTCAGAGAGACATGATCTAACCTGCATTATATGTTGAGCCTGAATTGCCATTGTCCTCTGAAGCCTGCTCGTGATTGGACTCGTCATTTTTGTTGTGTGTGGCAGAGAAAATAATACCAGACGTGTTCATGTTTGAGAAGTCTGGTCGCGAGGATAATGCTTCCGATGCTTCAATATCAAGCCATTCCCCAGTTTCATGCTTTTTCTTCGACAGGTCAATGAACCGAAAGCAAGCTTCCCTGTTCAATAGATACAGTCAATTAGAAAACAATCTCGAAAAAGAACCTCTCTATACGTAAGAGAGTCCCAGGTCAGACATCACTTTTCAACGAGAGGGGCATAAGAAGGAGCTTACATTAAACGCAAGGCCCCAAAACACTCAGCAAAAGACACGAGTGATGCCAAGTGATCAATATCGAAACCTGCAGCTGCAGCGCGTGCAAAGGCCATTCCTTGTTCTTTCTGTAGCATTGTCTTGCGGGTTTCAAAGACTTTCAAAAGCTGAACTCTGGTTCACCATTTAAATAAAACACGGTGTTAGCTCTACAAATATTGCTAATAACCAAATTTGTAGCTCAATGGTCAAATATTATTTGTTGTATAAAAGGATTCTTGGTTGAGGATTCACCTAGAAACACAAGAACTTTCTACTGAGACACTCTGAACATTAACTAATGCTAGTAACCAATTTTTAACTCAATCGTCAAATATCATCATTGTTTAAAAGTGCTGTCGGTTGAGTAAGTAAATATGCAAGCAAAAGTAGAGGTGCCAGAAGATCACATATCAGGTCCCTTAAACAAAAGCAAAACACTTGTGTAGGAGGAAACTGCTCATTTTCTTTCAGGTGTGCATTAGGGATCTAAAGAACGAGTGTATTTAGGCATTTTCCTTCTTATGTAATCTTAGGAGTATCTTTTTGAATTTATTAAAATATACAACGTAAGAGGTTGTTTCTGTCAGTAAATGGCCTAAACATTATCTTGGAGGTCTAGAGATATAATCCCATCCCTTCTTGAGAATTTTTCGGAACTCCAGTTGAAAATGGTTTGGTTGCCAAGATAAGCACTTATGTCGAAGGAAAAAAGACCCTCAACAGAAACATAAAAGATGCAACATATTGGCAGCATATGATCACTTTCTTCTAGGCAAGAAACGAAGCCAACAAAACTAACATGCTTAGTTCATCTACACGTATAAAAAGTGCCACCATGAATATCCTCTGTGCATAATATATACTGTTCAGTTAGAATGCACAATTTTTGCCTATTTTAAACAACGGACAACCTCTAAAAAATTGGACTTAATCTACCGGATGAGTCATTTGGGCATAAATACAACGCCCAATAGAACTGAAATTTCAAGTTAATTTAAGAAGACAATGTAAAACATACTTTGAATTTCCCTCCTGCAAGCACAACCCATTAGCTTCAGGCACTGATGCTCCAGGCTGTCAATAAAAAAAACGAGACAGTGTTAAAATACGTAATGAAGTATATCAGAGGAAGAAATGCTGAGGGCTTACTGACCGTGTAAAGGACTATTGCTTTCTCTTCATTATCATTGGGCGGTGATCTGTTAACTGCCCATAGTTCAAAATTATTTAGTGCTTTGTTACTCACACGACAAGATCAAAATGCAGTACCATTTTACACAAATTTATACATCCCTTCTTAAATTAAAAAATGAATTTAGCAGAGCCAAATGAATACAAAATTTTGTCTCTTCAAGTCTCAGTTGAAATTAATTGAAAAAACAATAGGCAAGATAGAACATACAAAAAACAGGACGGAGAAAGCATGGTTAAGGAAAATCATCAGGATTGATTAGAAACGAGACAAATCAGAAGAACAAAATAGCCCCCTTTTCAAGTACACAATTCTGTTCTATGTACCTTCACAGTTTCCGTGAGGTTTTCCTTCATGATCTTCCAACTGTTTAGAAAAAAGGGGGGTGGAAACAACATCAATTATTAAGTAGGCTAACAGATATGGATAAATTATCAATTGCTTAGTCACTTACAATGCTTTGCTCTATATCATTGTTGCTCTGCATGGCAATTGCCTCCTCAATCTGTAAAATCTCGGTTTCTATCGTGTACACACGTTCCAAGATCTCTGGGGTGCTCACAAAACGGACAAACCTGATTACGTAGAAACTATTAGTTACAGAGATATATTTTTTTATCCTTCCAGGTTAGAAGCACAGCTTCTGCTTTAGGAGGATATTCTGGATTTCGTATTGGTCATCTAGCACCCGATATCCCAAATTGAATACCACCATCAATTTTGACATATTACTAAAATAGGGCAAGAACAGGAGCCACTTAAACTGACTTCAATTATAGCATCAGAAATGTGCAAGCACGTAGATTTGATACGAGGTACGACATTATAGATTAGACACACCTTTCTAAAGTGGCCTTGGTGAACCATGCTGCATCAGTGCCATTCTTCGGCTCAAGCAAAATCGAATAACCGCCTTTAGCGATTTGATCTTGAGCAGTCTTCAGGTGGGCAAGAAATGGATTTAGCAATCCCGAAGCGATTTTCTCTTTTTTATCATTTGCTATGATGATTAAATCACACCTGATAATTGGAATACTGTCAGACTAGAAATTCAAAATTTCAGATGGAAACTTAAATTACTACGGGACATTTTGTCTCAACTATGTCGGTGCTTCCGACAACATTAAATGAAGACCATATTCACCATACGTACAGAACATTTTAAAAATAGTCAAAAGAAAAAAAGCAATTTCACATGTCGTCAAGGATATAACCACTATTTTGCGCATTCGTGTTTTTCTATTCATCAACATGTATATAACTTTTCACAAACGATCAACTGATGAAAAGTGAAATCTCGGGAATCCGTCTTTCCGATATTCGAACATTTAAAAGACAAACGAACATTCACTATGTACTTCTATTTATGGTACAAATACAGAATATACTAATACGTAAAAGCGAAGAGAGCTTTAATTAAAGTTCTACATAATGAATGCAAACGCAGGACAAAATTCCCAAACAATACGACACAAAAAAAAAACACTACCCAAACAGCCAAAACCTGAGAATGATTAATTACACGTCATCAACTATCACCAAAAAACTGAAAAACACACACACAGGCATTCAAATCAACTCAAATAAAAGCCAAAACAAATTAGTCCACCTAAAAAAAAAAAGTACAAAATTAAGTAGTTCAATCATATACCTAGTTCGAGTTGGAGTGAGCTGAAAAACGGCCGAGCTGAGTCGAGTGCTCCGTTTCATTTTGTGCTTCAGATCTCACCGGAAAAAAAAAATTGCTGACAGAAATTAAATAGACGATTAGAATTCAATTTTGTTTTTCAACGCTAAACAGCTTCAACATACATTATTAGAAAAAAAAACAAAAATGAGAACACAGAAAAGCTTTCTCAGCTGAATGGTGAAGAGCTTACCGGCTTTCTGATTCACGGCCTGCATTCGCATATGTAGAGAGAGAAAGAGAGGAGAGAGAGAGAGAGAGAGAGAGAGAGAGTATCGCCGATTCTGTGGGGAAAAAGTGTTGCAGAGAGTGCAAAGGATATATACATACAAGTTGTTGTATGTATATTTTTGCGACACTTCGGATACTGGGACAGGAGGGAGTGGAGACATATGGGCAAAAATAATAATCATAAATAAATAAATAGTACCTATAATTTTAAAGGTAATTTACCGCGGTCCACGAAGTATGGTCAAATTACGAAATAATACTTCATATTTGGTTAATTACAATTACCCCTCAACTAAGAATTTTCTTACACGTCCACTCTTGCAGTGTCAAATTTAGTGTAATCTTCGAGATTATGTGGAATATTCTCCAGTTTGTACTCGATTTGTTCAAAAATGCAATTTCGGATGCACCACAATCTGATATTTACAAGCCAAGTGTTTCAAAATGTGGAGTTCGAACGGGGTAAAAGGGGTACAAATTAGAGAATATTTCACATAATCTAAAAGATTCCATTAAATTTGACACTGCAAGGATGGACGTATAAGAAGATTCATCGTTGAAGGGGGTTGTTGTAATTAACCAAGCATGAAGGATTTTTTTTTTGTAATTTTAACATTAGCGTAGGGTTGGCGGTAATTTACCCTAATTTTATTTTAGATTGCAAGTAAAGGAAATTAATTAAATGAGAGAAAGATGGGTAGTAGTTTAAGAAGTTCACCCCTCTTTAAAAGTGACAAAAGAAATACTTATATATTTTCAAATTAATTAAAAATATTATCTAAAGTATCAAATGAACATTTATTTTAATATTTATGCATTGAAGTTGATTATTATTTTTTTAAATTTGATAGTCGAGCTCCATTAAACTTTACGGAATTTTCGAATATATATATATATAAATTAAAAGTTTATTTATAATCCAAAAAACTATTTGATTGATTAATAGGCTGATTAAAAAGCGGACAAGCAGCATTGGATACCCAAACGGCTACTTTGTACCCACACAACGGCTACTTTTTTACATGGACTGTGTCAACCGTCTGTTGCGGTAATAATT